TGTGGCTAGGTAAGGGCAAAAATATCTAAATATGTTCCCAATGATGTAGTTCCTTAAATCCTTGATAAATCTTATTCTAAGGTTAATATCCTCAATTAAGCTATTTTCATAATGTAAGGAGGGGATGTAGCGGGGGGAAGTGCACTGTATTCCCCGTGCATAACATAGTATACTATTTTTCCATCCTCTTTCCTTTTTATTTTCTTCTACTTTCATGAATCTTGACTTTTTATTCAGATACTGTTGATGATAAGCAGTCTAAAAGTCTTCACTCAGGCCTTCCTATTTCTTCTTTCAAATTTGTGAAAAATTATGGATGACTCAAGAGCCCATCAAACTATTCACTTTTCAAACATTAGATCTTACAGTTGAAAAATAATTTAGACATCATTTTCCAAAAGACATGTATGAAGACATGAATTGATGTCAACACACTTTATATACAATCAGAGATATGAAAAATCATGCTGTATATATGTAATAAGAATTGTAATGCATTCCGTTGTCATTTATCTTTTTAAAAAAATCAATTAAAAAATAATTTTCTTTAATTTGATACTCTTTCCTCTACATCCATTGGGCAATAGTATCACTACAACAGCTATTCATAGCAGTTCCAGTCACTCAAAACTGAGCAGTGGCCTTGTTCCTGAGGCACTGGACAATAGATCAGAAGCACCTACAACCCACAAATCCAAGGAGGCCCAACCCTTGAAACCCAGAAGGAACTAGCCATAAGCCTTGGGCTTATGGTGGCAATGTTGATCTCTAGGATCACTTTTCCATTTTCTTAAAAAATAATAAATAATAGATAGTCACAGCCTTCCTTCATTCCATCCCATTTTCTGATTCCTTTAGTCCAAGCAGTATTTTGCTTGTTTGACATTATCTCTACTCCTGGCTTCTGCTGCATTGGCCAATTAAGTCCAAGAGTTGAACCCAGGATCTCTTTATCAAATGAATGCTCAACCACATCTTGCTTCAGAAGAAGCTTTTTATCCTTTTTTACAATATGAATAGGTTAAGAACTTTCTAAATTTTCAAGTGCTGATTCCTCTGTGCTTAATAGTTTCCTCTTCAATTCATCTCTCTTCTTCCACATTTTACTATAAGCAGTCAGGGAGAACCAAGCCACTCCTTCACCATTTCACTTAAAATTCTCTCTAGCTATATGAGCAATTTCATCACTTACAAGCTCTTTCCACAAAACACTATAACAGTTCAGCTAAGTTCTTTGCTACTTTGTGATTAAGACTTCCTTTCTTCCAGTTTTCAATAACTCTTCCTCACTTTCATCTGGGACCACTCCAAAATGAACTCTAATGTCCATATTTCTACCAACATCCTGTTCATCATTATTAATGTATTCTCTAAGAAGATAACTCCTATTACCTTTCTGAGCCCTCACCGGAAATGCCTTTAGTAATTCTATCAATAGTCCCTTCTTTGAAACACAAGCTTCGGCTAGCATACACCTTAAAACTCCTCTAGTCTCTACGCATTTTCCAGTTCTAAAGATACTTTGAAATGTTTAAGTCCATGTGACAGCAGCACCCCAATTCATGGTATCAAAATATGCATCTGCTAAGGCTAAATTTAGAGTTATTGCAGATACCTTATCTACATACAATTGAAGAGTTGTACAGTTAACTGTAACTTATATAGTTAACTGTAAAACTAGTAAAATTAGTTTCTTAGAGTTTAAAAAAAAGAAACACCAAAACATGGTGGTTGCCTTCTTAAAATGCAATCGACTCCTTAAAAACCTACCAAATAAATGTCAAAAAGAATTATTAAAATCAGGTCTTAAAATAAATTAACAGCACTCTGAAAAAGATCTATCAATGGCCAAAAGGCACATGAAAAGATGCTTAACATCACCAATCATAATGGGAATACAAATTGAAACCACAGATAACTTCTTTACACTCATGAGAATATATTTTTGGTGAGAAAGTGAAATGTTGAAATGTTGGTGAAGATTTGGAGAAATCAGAACACCTGTGTTCTACTGGTGGGAATGTAAACTGGGGTAGCTGTTGTAAACAGTATGGTAATCCTCAAAAAATTAAAACATAGAATTATGTGTTAGTCAATTTTCCAATATTATAACAAATACTGAAATAATCAACTTATAAAGAAAAAGGTTTATTTTGGCTCACAGTTTTAGAGGTTTCAGTCCATGATTGGTTGGCTCCATTGTTTTTAAATATGGCAGGGCAGGACACCGTGTGGGGAGCACATGGCAGAACAAAACCTCTCAACTCAGAACAGGGAGCAAACAAAGAGAGGAATAAGGGGCTGCAGTCTTCCTATACCTTCAAGATCACCACTTCAATGACCTAAAGTCTCCCGATGGTACCCAACAGATTCCACCACTTCCCAATAATGCCTCCCTGGGGACCACCTTGAAAACATGAACCTTTGGAAAATATTTAAGATCCAAACTGCAGCAAATTACCATTATAACCTAGCAATATTACTTTTGAGTAGACAACCAACAGGAATGAAGCAGAGACTTGAACTTGTTTGCGCTCACAGCAGCATTATTTACAATAGCCTAAAGGTGGAAGCAACCCAAATATCCACAGCTGAATGAATACAGGGAAAAAAGTGGTATGTGCACACAATGATTATTATATTCACCCTTTAAAATGACATTCCAACACATGTTATATCTTGTATGAAACTTGGAAGACATTATTCTAAGTGAAATAAGCCAGTTATAAAAGGACAAATACTGTATAACTGCACTTATGTGAGTTATGTAAAGTAGTCAAATTCATAGACCCAGAAAGTATACTGGTAGTTTCCAAGGCTAAGGGTAGTCAACAATGAGGAGTTAGTGTTTCATGGGTACAGAGTTCCAGTTGAGGAAGATTTTTAAATTCTGTAAATGAATAGTAGTGATGTTTGCAAATAACAATGTAAATGTATATAATGTTACTAAAAGTACACTTAAAATGATTAAAATGCTGGGTGCAGTGGTTCATGCCAATAATCCCAGCAGCTCAGGAAGTTGAAGCAAGAGGGTCACAAGTTCAAAGCCAGCCTCAGCAATTTAGCAAGGCACTTAGCAACTCAATGAGACTCTATCTCTAAATAAAATACAAAAAAAGGTTGGGGATGTGGCCCAGCGGTTAGGACCAAAGGGTTCAATCCCAGGTACCAAAAAGAAAAAAAGGATTAAAATGATAAAATTTATGTTATGTGTATTTTACTATGATTAAAAAAAAAGATAACTGAAAAGTAAAGCTGACAAGGGGCAGGAGTACCTGCTACTTAGTATCAATGACTACTGTGCAAACCCAATCTGACAAAAACAAAGACAAAACACCATTTACTCGACTGAGTAAATGGTGTTTAATATTGTTTATAACTCAATAGGTAGCATGAAAACATCTCTATATGCCTACCTCGAGTCTCCTCATAGAGCTTTGCTGGCGAAAGCTAAGAAAGCTACACTGTCAATAAATAAAATCTCTCACATACACACAAAAAATCAATGATAAATATTCCTTCCCAAGATGTTTAAACCCTGATGCCTATATCCTTGCTATTTCAATTTATACCAAAATTCATGTTTTAGACCTTGGTGGTGGCCTAAAACACTCATCCTCTGCATACCTGCAGAGCTCACTCTCTCACTTCATTCAGATCTCTTCTCAAATGCCCCTTTATAAGAGAGACTGAACTTGAGCATCCTATTTAAAATAGCATCCTCCATCATTCCCACTCCCCCTTACTTGCTCTATTTTTTGTTTCATAGCTCTTCTACTTGTTAAGAATGTAAGCTCCAGGAGCACAAGGACTTTCTTTGTTGTTCACTACTGTCTTCTCAGCACCTGGACCACTACCTGGCAGACTGAAGGTAGCCAGTAAATATTTGACAAGTGAATGAATAGATGGATGTTCACAACTTCATACATCACATGTCCTTCTTGGCCTAATGACTATTCCACCATCCACAAGTGTTGTAACAGCACACAGCTTCAATGCCATCAGAGTATCCTTAGTCCTTCACTGCTTGAAGGGAAGGAACACATCATTTAAAAGTCAGAAAGAATCTGATACCAGCACACTGACATTGAGACCTTAGTTAAGCACATCAAAAAGTACTCTCTAGCTCAGTTTCTAAATAGGCAAAATGAATATGGAATATCTGTTCCTTCACAAGGAGGGAAAAAGAATAAGGATAAACAATATACCTCTGACACTGCTTTAAGGCAAAAACAAACCATATACTGTGTAACAAACATCACATTACACCCATTTTGATAAACACTGTCAGGCACTTGCAGATGAAAACCACAGAATATCTCTTCTAAAACTATTCTGAGGACTTGGGAGGAAAAGAAGAAATGTAATAACACAGCTTATCCTTAAATACAATCAAAATATAAGTAGTCAGTTACTTGGGCCAAAATATAGACACCCTGAAACACCAGAAGAGTATGTTAATACCTGGATGAGGTAATTTCTCTCCCTGGATGAGGGAGAGAAAAGACTGCTTCCAAAATACACATAACTTTATTTCACAGTCAAAAGTATTCCACTAAGAATTCATATTGCATCCCAGTGAGACATCCCACTTTAATCTCTCCCAAATCAATGACTACCTGGTAAAGCATTGGCAGTTGACAACATTTATTGCTAAAAACAAAATCTTCAACCAGAGAACTGCAATACCTGTCCTGTCAAGTAAGGGTGGAGGGCCCATTATTCTACAGTCCCACAACCTCATAAGCTCAGCTCTAAAGCAAGTCATCTAGGGAACACACTCCTCCAGCATGGAGAGTGGAAATGGCAGGTGGAAGTGGCCCATTAGCGGGGTTCTGGGCTCACATAAGAAATGTCCCCTGTTAATGAAGCGTGATATCTGACAGCCTCAGACCTCAGGGCCAGCTATCCCCGCCCGACACAGATCCAGGCCAACCCCCTCTTCGGATTCAACCCCGGCCTGCCCCGGGAGCTCAGATCCTCCAGGACGACGTTCCTACCTGAGCTCTGCCCCCAGCTACAGGGCTGAGGGGGGAGGCGGGAGGAGGCGTGGCCTTCCAGCTCGCTAGTCGAACTCCCTCGTGCGGTTGTTGTGACTTTCCCTCTCGGGATCCGCGCCCCGACCAAGTTCGAGTTGTACTTCCGGGGTCCACAGGAGCCTGAAACGTCATTGCGCACGCGACGGCGGCAAGGCGACAACCCGGAAATGGGCTGGGCGTGGTCGCTGGGTCGGTTCCTGTGGCGCTTGGTGGGATGGGAGGGAGACAGGCCCGTGAGAATTTAAGTGTTAGTCCTTCCTTTTGAAGACTACGTAGGTAAACCTGGAAGACCGGACCTTCCTAAAGCTTAGTTCTACAAGCGGATTTTTTAAAACTTTTCTGGGTGTTTCCTTATTCCCCATTCCCCCATTCATGGTTTATCAGGGTTTACACTGCTCATTCAACTCTAGAAAAGACAGGAGCTAGAATTTGGGAAGATTACATTTACCTCTCGAGGCGCATGCAATAGGAAGTTAATACTAGCATTCTAATGACAAAGTTTTCTTCTTACCATACTTGACACACGTGGGCATCTAAGGATTTTGATGTTATGTTTTTCCAGAAACAAATTTGAAAGTTCACTGTCTTAAGGGTAAATCCAGGATAATCAATTGGGGGAGGGGAGGTAACTGATTAGATTTTACAAGTTACTGTCAGTACATTTACTTATTCCACAATTGTTAATTTAATAAGGCTAAACAAACCAGGTGCTGGGGACACAGATGAGGGCAGCTAAGGGGAAGGAAGGACTGGTCGCTGAAAAGCGAGTCGCCATTTATAATATTCAGAGAATTGTCCTTTAAAATATTCTCAACCATAAACAGTGCCTGTCATGAAATACTCAATAAATATTGATTGATTGAATGGCCACAGTGTTATGTATTAAACAAATTTAGTAGCTTATGTAACAAAAGGATTGGGAGTTGGAAGGACGGGGTGTTAATGGGAGAAGGAATGCAGTGTAGAGAGGGTTCTTGGAAATTAAAAAAAACAAAAACAAAAAAAAAAACCGCATTGTAGTTAGCCAGAAATTAATGCCTTGATAGAGGCAGAGTATTGCAAAACTGTCTGGGCTTAATTTCTGTGCAGACCTCAGACGGTTTGCAGGGCAGCACTTTCCATGCAAGAGGAAGACAAGAGCAAGACTGAAAATCTTCATAACCCCTGCTGAGTAATTTAAATTTTGCACTGCAATCAAGGAAACAATGATTTTAAAACAGATGTGAAAAGCAACATTTTTTTTTTATTTTGGTAGATTATGGCAAGAGTGATCGAGTTCATTGAAAAGATAAGGCACCAAAACATCAGGCAAAATACCTGACCAGTACTCTTCCTGTCAAGTCACAGAGATAAGGAAATCGGAGAAACAGTCAGAGCCTATAGGATCCTAATAAGGACTACCTCTAATGTAGCATCCTAGAAAAGAAAAAAATAACAAATGGAGGAACTAGTGAAATCAGGATTAAAAAGCATAAATTTTAATAATATATCAGTCTTGATATGAAACTTGGAAATACACCAAAAGAAGGTTGACATCTCTCAATGTTACAAAGGATAAAAGCCCAATCAAAGATTAGAAGACTGTACTTTGCTCAGTAGTAAACTCTTTACTATTGAACACGCATGGGTGTTTGAGCTAGACCCACACAAGAATGATTGAGACTTCAGATTATTCCAATCCATATGTCTTTCAGCTGAGGTCCCAAATTTTACAAAGCAGAGACAGGAAAACCCTTTGTGACCATTTCTGTGTTCCTATCCCACAGGAACAACTAAAGATAGTGAAAATGATTAGAATTCTACAAGTAAATATTGAAGTAAATGTTCAAATAAATTTTACAGTGATTTATTAACTCAGCAAAAGAAAATAATACACTATTTAACAGCAACCCTTTACTTTCACCTCCCATCCTGTATAAAATGTCAAAATCAAGAATGAGATTATACGTGCTTAGAGAAACTGTTATAATAATGATGATAAGAAATATGTTGTTAAAATTCTTTCTTTTTACACATTTATAGTACAAATTTCCCCCTTTCCAATAAATACCATCTAAATTTTGCTAGCTTTTTACTTATGATTTTAATTCATACATCTCTAGGGAAGCCAGAAACTCCAGTTTTTCTCCCCACCCCTATTCTTTTGCACCAAGATCTGACAGAGAGAAAGAAAAGGAGAGGAGATTTGTTCCCTCCTGGCTAACAGCTGGTCCATCTTTGATCACTGCTATGATCAAAGAAATCTCCCAGCACCATGTTTGGAGTTTCTTCCTCCTATTCCAGGCCACCTCCCATCTATTTTCTTGTCAATCTACCTGTACCCTTCAAGTCAGATGTTCTCAGTGACATGCAGCAGACACCTACAAAAGTACTATCAAATTACATATTACTCACTTAAATTAAAAAATAAAACCCACCTGCCACAACTAGGACTCAGCTCCAGCATTTGACTGCTTTGACAAATTCATTAAGAAAGCATACTTGGTTAGATTCTAAAGGCAAGGATCTGTCTACACTAACAAACTGTATTGGAGTGTCAGGCCAAATGATATCACATGTCCTAAATCCTCTGAATTCTGATTTAAATTTGGTGGATCAGTTAACATTCCTACCCTTGCTCAAGTCCAAGTAGGTATGTGTAAAGCGTGGCATAGAAATGACAAGACATTCTGCTTTCCAGGTTTAATTTATATTCAAAGCTCAAAAAGCAGGATCACAGAATCATACCATTTCAAATGTTTCCAGTGTTGGAGATCAAGTCCATGGTATCACAAACACTAGGAAAGCAGTCTGTCACTGAACCACACTCCCAGCTTGCTTTTGACATTTCTAGGGACATCCCAAGTTCAGATACTCTTCCTGAGCTGTGTCTAGTCTACACATGTGCTCATCGAAAGCACTTTTCATTTATGCTACAATATTTTTTATATTCAGCATTTCTTTTTGATTCTTGGAGTTTGTATCCTTCTTTTTACATTACCCTTATTTTCTTGAATGTTGTCCACTTTTCCTTCACCTTTGAAAGTTAAGATTGGAATTGGCAATTTCTATTTATCCAGATTAATTAGGCACTGCTAAACCCCCAGTCAATCAAGCTCTGTTAAAATAGTTTTTTAAGGGCATACTTTGTCATGAAAACCATTTAGCAACCTTTAACTTCTGCTTTAATCTATGTATTTTGAAATTTTATACAAGGAAAAATAAAATACTAATGTTCAAAAAGAGCACTTCAATAGAGTTTGAAACAAACAGCCTAAAAATAAAAATAGTCTCTAATTTATGAGGGATGGGAACCAGTTGTAGATGTATACATTTACCTAGAGTTAGGCAAACTGCAAGGTTAGAGGGCACAGTCACAAGGCTTGCCTCATTTCTGACACCAGCTGCAAGTTGCCGGGGTTGAGGGGTATTCCTCAAACCCTCAGATTTGAAATTCTCTAGAAGGCCTCACAGAACTCACTGAAAATTGTTATACTCATGGTTAGTTAATTACAAGGAAAAGATACAAATTTACATCCACTAGGAGAAGAAGTACATTAGATAGAGTCCTGGAGGGCACCAAATACAATGCTTCTGTTTGTTATACTCTCCCACTGGAGTCAGGACATGTTACATTGTCAGCATCAATGCATGGCAAGATGCATCAGAGGACTGCCAGCCAGCAATGCTCACCAGAGCTTCAACATGCAGAATTTTTATTGGAGCTCCATTATGTAGGCAGGATTGATTGATTGCTTGATTACCCCTGTGGTTGATCTCAGTCTCCAGGTCAAATGATACCACATGTCCCAAAGCCTCCATCCTAAGTCACAGGGGTAGTCTTTTAAGCACAAGGAGCCCTATGCTAAGACTATTACAGTTAGATGGCCTCCACCCTAAACAAAGACACTCCTATCAGATGTGATATAGATTTTTTCCCAGAATCTGAGGGTAAAATTCATATCAGTCTTTGGGAAAGGCCACACTCTTCACTATACAATATTTGGCATGAATCCTGCATAAATTTTATTTGGATGGGAGGGAATAGGTAAGGGAAAAGAGAAATTGTTATTAGTTCTCTGGCAGATTAAATTATCAAGAATAGGTGATTTGTTTGAATGAGTGAAGACAGTGGTTTTCTTCCATATAACTTCATAGAGCCTTTTCATTTTCTACTCAGTGTCTCTCCTTTAAATTTTCTTTTTTTAAATGATTCTTCCATGGAAAGAGAGGAATGAATGGCATGAGCTTTCTTGTGAGCTCTGAAAAGACAAAACAACAAAGGGAATATGTGAAGGATAGGCTCTCTGACCCAGCTCTTTCTCCCATCTCCTGAATAATAATATAGATTACAAACAGCTGTGGAGAGCTGTCTTTGCATGCCTAACAGAGGTTTGGTTCTAAACCAGCCCTCATGAAAAAAAATCCCTGATAGTAAAAATAACTATAAAAATCCCTAAGTGGCCTACAAAAGTCATAGTTTGATTCCTTTTTAATCTTGCATTGCACATAAAATTCCACAGCAAAATCTGTTGACTCTTTCTCAAAAAAGGTATCCTAAATTTAACCTCTAGTCCACACTGGATACAATAGCTGTCTCTTAATTGCTTTACATTTTTCTATTTTTGCCTCTGTAAAGTCTAGTCTCCTGTTGACAGATGTAAAAATCTAAAAACTCAAATCAGAACTTGTCATTTTCCTGTTAAAAACCTTAATAGCTTCCTCGCTCAAATAGAATAAATCCAAAAATAATTTTCACAGGTCTATAAGGTTTTGTGTGAGCTGTGTCCTGCTATACCATCACTCCACTGAGAAGGAAGGACATAAAAGTTTTGTTGTTGTTGTTGTTGTTGTTTTGTATTTTAGGGTTGGGAAGGATTTGGAGTTTGGAAAATGAAGTCCCAAAGGTGAGTACATAAATCTCTTGTTTAAAAATAAAGACAAGAGACTAAATGAGGGTACCTGTGATATATGAGTAAGGACTTAATAACTGTCAGGTTTCCCCCAACATCTGGTAGACATTCTGGTATATGACTTGGTATAATATTAGTCTGCTAGTACTGTCATAACAAAGTTCCTCAAACTGAGTTGCTTAAATAACAGAAATTTATTGTCTCCTAGTTCTGAAGACTATAAGTCTAA